ATGATGGAAATCGTGGGAATATCATAACAAATTATTGTTCTCTATACAAACGTGAATATTCTAGTTAAGATGCTACCGTAAAAAAATCACGGCTGAACGGTGTTGTGATTTTAAAAAGACACTATCCGTCAGGCAATTTTTCATAGAGCATTCTCCGTGATACATAACGAGTCAGTGTTTAAATGCATTAGTCTACGTAATTGTTACGTAAAGTAGCAAAAATTATAATACACTTATACAGATTCTTCAGTAATGGTATTTTAAATACGTATTTGTCGAATTTAAATCACGTATAGTTTAATAATAACCGTACGAATCGTCTTTCGATTTGACAATTAGGTCAATAAACTCTGTTGTATTGACCCAGAGCCTAAACAGTGCCGGTCGCATGAAAAATAAATTGTCTATGTCGCGTGCGTATGATACATACGTATTATTATAAATTATTTGACACGTGTCATGGTCATCCTATTATAATAATGATATTATTTATAATTACCGCATAAGTACATAAATAAATAAAACAATTTGTAATTAATATCATGGAAATCGTGATATCAACACAATATTATATTATTATATGATAATATAATGTTGTATAACTGCGATGACGTGTAACCGGCCGTTTACGATAAAACAATTTTTTGTACAATACGTAGGTATAATAAAATATTGTATGTTAAACGATGATGAGATGCGCGCATCCCGATACTATAAGATTTTATATTATTATTGTGTATGCGACGCCACCCAACATTCGTATTTCTCTCGCAAACGTGAAATAGAAACTGTTTCCGACTCGTTGAATTATTTGCGTTCGATTTAAATAGACGTTGACAGTTTTATCTGTATAATGTGTATATTATCTGGGAAAATATTCTCAATACCCCCATATCGAAGACAGCAAAATAATTGCACAGTGTAGTATTTACGACGAATATTCATAAAGGTCGCGTTGTGTTCTACAGCTTAGTTTAAATGTCCCCCGGATTTGTTTATAAGACGAACATTTAAACCAATACTAATGCCAAGCCATTAACTAGACAATGTCTAGACGCGCGTGGACAAAGATGTGGCTTCTAAAAGTAAACTGTTGAAACAGGATAACCGATGCTATTTACACTGATCGAATTACGATACTGGACTAAAAAAATATTAGTTGGGTTTGTCTAGGGTTGCTATAGAAAATAAAACGTCCCTGCACATATGCGTCAGTGGTATAGACAATATTAGCGTAGTCGTCTTAATGAGTGCGATATATAATAATATATTATTATGTGTTTACCATAATAAGTTGACACCAATAAGCATTAATGCATTACGCGTTCATATTTGTTATTATGTTTACCGGATGCCTTATATCCTGTACGTCTATTTATCCAGTGATTATGTACATGATTATCGGCAAACAGTGTTTATAATATATTATTGTCTTATTGTTCTGTTTAAAATTCTAAAATGTTTAAGTCTATGAAGTATAAAGGTACTTCGATAAGTTTTAATGGAAATCAATAACGATATAATAAATGTCTTCTAAAACTTTTAAAATATTTAAACCTATACAGCACGATCGTCGAGGCTATTAAAAATTATTTTGTTTTAACTACGATTCACCAAGCATTCTCAAATGAATTAGTACTATTTTAGGAGTATTATGAGTATACAAACTTCTATTTTCCCAAGACAATCAACATTTTGTACTATAAATTGTTTATTAGCTTATGTTTTTGAAAATGTCTATGAAGCTAATTCAAAATTCCAAAAATTAGTTTAGTTTTTAAAATGCATATTATTAGGTTAATAGACAATAGTTCTTAAAAATGATTTTACAAAAAATATAAATCAGATGTAATATTGGATCTATTTTATTTTTGGAGTTTGAATATTTTATGAATTAGAAATTTTGGTAGATAACTGATAAATATTAATTATTAAAATTATCAAATTACCATCGATCCCATGTATTCCAGAATCATCGTCATAGATTTTAATATACAAAAATGTAATACTTCAAAAACTACATTTATTCAAATTTTGATTTTGATACGTCAAAATGTTTAGAAAAATGATTTATGGTAGAAAAATTAGATTTTTATTTACAAAATGAAGTTTGTATCTCCACATGATAGAGTGATGAAGTAGAAAAAATATTTTAAAAATTTAAAAATTTTGTAAAATTTTACCCCCAACAAGATATCAAGTCAGCACAACATTAGTTGTTGATATTATTATACTGTTTCTTATTCAATATAATAAAATATAAATGTAGTCATATTCGAGATTGTTTTAATATTTATAAAATGCCTTTTTTTATGAAGTATAAACAATAGTCGACCTTTACGACAAAAGTTTAAAATTTAATTTAGTTTAGAACTATGTTTATGCATGACAATTTACAATGGAACATTTAGAATTACACAACCTTTTTTGCAACCATTTTTTTTCGTAGAACACTATCACAAAGGTTTTAACCTTATCTCAAGGAATTTATGACTGGTAAAGGACGCCTGCAGAAAGCAATAGCAGTTTTTCCCTATACATGCCGAATATTGTCCCAAAATAATGTTCTAACCAAAATAATAGTTGATGCTTGATATAAAAACGGACGTAGAACGATTATAACTGTCATATTTTGGGTTTCATAGTCGAAAACTATCGTTTCATATTTATTTTCGTGTTACACCGTGTCAAGCCCGTTTTGACTTTCCGGATTAAAGTGTGAACGTTATGATTTTTTATTGAAAATGTCCACCCAACACACTCAGTTGGCAATCACCGGTGAAGACGACGTTCAATGTTTGCACGATAATATCTTCGTAAACATTCACCAGCAAATGAACACTTCTTGCGAATTTGATGTTCCGCCACGTCCGTAACGTTTATAAAATACAACATTTCGACATCTCGGCAGCGGCGAATACGGTCACGGTATTTAAATCTTCGCGCCTGCATAACATTAACACGTGCAGCTATATACATAACAACAATAATAATTTAATCGCATGCAATCGCGATGCAGTCCGCATCATCATTATTATTATTATTATTATCAACATTATAGTGCCCATATAACGCGCAGCGCGTGTCTGCCGAGTAATAATATAATATTAATCACGATAATATAATATGGTCTCGTACGCGTTTTATTATTATGGCATTATTTTTTATCGTACGTCGTCCGAAACGTCGTCCGACGAGGCCGCAGCAGGAGCGAATTTAATTTCGATTGTGTATCATCGTCGTATAATATTATTAATGTTATTACTGCACTTTGTATATTAATATAACGGCACGCGAGTCTGAGTAACGACCGTCGTCGCCACATGTGCACGCGCGACAACACGATTAAACGAAAAATTTTATCGACGCGACGCGTTTAAAACCAACCGCTCTACGCCGATATAGACGACATTATTATTAACGTGAAATACAATAATAATAATAATAATAATATTGCAATATCATCGCGACAGTGTACACCACATTTTGAAACGACGGCATTAATATACCTACGTAACTATTATTGTGTGCGTGTGAATGCAACGTATTTATGTTAACCGGAAAACGAACGCCGGGAAGTCGCGACTTTCCGAGAACCTAACACGAGTATTGCGCCCGACACCGCGAATAAAAAACGATTCTTCGAATTCCCTGCGATACAGATGAGCACATTGCCGTATTGCTCCGAAATCTCCTCGACCGAACGTCGTCGTCAAATCGAGTTTCGGATAATACAATGTAAGATATTATGACGTGGTCCTCCACTTCCTCGTAAGATAAAATGGAATTTCCTTTATTGCATTCGGCAGAGAACGACGAGCATGCTGTGAGCTCACGCACTTGTGTGTGTGTGTGTTTTTCTTCTCCGAATTCGAGACAATATCGCGTATTATTATATTGAGGCACGCGCCGCTCGTACGGCTGACGATGACGACTGTACAAAATATTATAATATTACTTACGTCGTATTTTACGTTTAAATGTTATTATATTATTATCGACGTGGACGACGACGTTTGTTCGGCGTACACAGTTAAGCCTCGTTTATATTTTTTAAGTTTCGACGTTGACTACGGGGTGACATTCTGCCGCTGCGCTAACGAGGTAATAAAATTAAAACGGTCGTGTACAGATACGCACGCGCGAAACGCATAAAAAGAACGAAGGATTATTGCATATACGGATTTTAAGCAACACCGTCCGTCGTACGTTTGTGTGACTCAAACCCGTCGAAACCGTCATAAAATAATGTAGTCTTCACCGTTCGACAGAGTGGTGTGTTTTAACGGAATCGACAACATTTCAAATTTCGAACTCGCCTGACGCTACGACTCTACTTATAAGTCACAATATTCAGCGCTGTGACTGATACAACTCTATAGTCGTTAAAAATACACAGCTTATACGTTATAATTTGTCGGGGTATACCGCGGATGTTTACCGGTTCTGTATTCCGTAATCGACATCCTTATAATAAAGACTTTCTTTGGGCAAAAATTTTCATTATAGTAATAGCGTTTTTCCTGTGAAATGTCGTTGCACTTCGCATATGTTTGTAGATCGCGTTGTTTAGCATTTAAAATTTGATTTTTACAACCACGAACAATACTATGTACAAGATATGTATAATATAACTGCAGTGTTAAAATCTACGAATATTCGACCCGAGCGTCATCAAGTTGTTAGAATACGATTTACGGGTCGGGTACAACATACAAACCGCGCTGTCTCCTAACATTTGCGGCTTTTACACGTTTAGAATGTCATAGCCCACTACAAACGTCTCGACATTTCTCCAATAATCTAGTCGTTATCGCGTTAATCAATATACTATCGATATACCATTCGAATGATAATATAATACTGCCTGTTGGGTTGTATAAAGCTTTTTCAGATATGAAAGACGAAAATCTGTTCGTAAACATGACTTTTCAATATTATTTCACCATTATTTAAAATAATATATTATACAATTTACGTTTTAATTTGTATTGTTCCAGGATCAACGTTAAACGGACAAACGTTGTTGGAATTTCCGTGGTCACAGGATATGGGAAGCACTGATTCCGTAAAAGTCAAATCTGCGAAACTGTGGTTTAGGTTAGAATACAGGCCGGACGTTCCCCCGGCCGTGCGTAGGACCCATCACAGTCACAATGTAACTTTGTGGCTGTTCAAAATAAACTTCCGTACGAACCCAATGCGGAATACCACGTTCCTAAGTGGTAAGGTATGTTTCACAAAAAATACACAACATTTATTACTATTAGAGTAGTCGTAGTATTTTAATTAATTATATTATTTTACCATTTAAGTTTGTATTATACACATATTTATAAAATGTTATAAGCTATTATTCATATGATTTTTTTTAAATTATTTTCATTAAAAAATGTTAAAAACTTAAAATAAAATATATAGGTCTAGAGCATTTTAACGATTAAGATTAATTTCAAGTTTTTAAATTATTTTCTATTTCTTCTCGTAATTTTATAATATAATTAGTTCTGTAGTTTAGAAAATAGATTATTCTAAATCAAATTTTATATATCATCTTTATATCTTATATTAAATAACACCTTGATAACCAATGCTATTGAATTTTTCAAATGCATTATAAAAAAAATATTATTATAATGATTATACTTGAACAATAATCTATTGCGGATGTATATAATAATCAATTATTATGGTTAACATAATATTATAATATAAAGAATATAACATCGTTCAATGCATATTATATAATTCACAATAGTTGGAAATGGTTCAAATAGGTCACTAAAATCTATTCTAACCCCAAATGAACTTATAGGGTGTATATAATAACCATTAATAAATCTTTTGCCATACAATTTAATGCGATCGCTAAAATAACGCTATAATGTTTCCTAAAACAATAAAATGTGTACGCAATTACATAATACTGCAACGAGTGTTTAGAGTGCGTATGTTAACACAGTTGCAAACTGGGAATGATATATTGCGGCTAACATACTATTATGATTATATTATATATTTGAGCGCGAGATTTTAGTACCGCAAAGATAATATTATTATGTGGTTGGAAATGACTTACAAGTGAAAATATGTGTGTACTTATACTATATACCAGAGGTTTGATAATCAACACGAATTATTTTATCGTCACAAAAGCACCTCATAAGCTCATTTATATTATCATCCGATTATAACATAGAACATTATAATATCAATTTGTGCTCGTAGTTTAAACATGTCTTGGTTTTCTTCTCTTCCATTCTATCGCTGTAATGATGCATTGGCCCAAGTCCTCAGACTGTTACTGGTCAGACTGTCTTCCACGCATGTTTATACGCGTACTGTAAACGTATAAGTACGCACGTTTCCATATACCCTTATTATTATACTACGTGAATTCTCAACGGGCGCATTTTTCGCATCCATCTCGTCTATGATATTCTTTTTTATCGTTGCATTCAATCCTCAGTTCTCACCCAAAACCCCGGTTCTTTACCAATACGTCGCATTGCGTAAGCACATAGGCACACTTCATACGATTTACAATATGTTGGGGGGATGGAGTAACCGGTACAGTATACTTTAAGTTTAAGACAATTTCGAAAGCCTTAATTTGATACAAAACGATAAGGGCATAGACGATAATGTCGTCACCCAATACGTGACTAATAATTTGATAATACATTTGCTACGTTGTGCAACATTCTAACCATGGAACTTTGATTCTTTGCTCCTTGTGGACTAGTTTGAATACAATCTAAGGGTATTGGCCAAATATATCCACACGATCTATTGTAGTTATTAATGTTGACGTTAACGTCAAGTACACTGCAAGTTCGATTATACTATATATGATATGAATACTTGATAAATAAATAATAATAAATAATATATATAATAAACTTTATCATAATTGTTTTTGTTTTTGTGAGTTCGATTTTAAAATTACAACCGTGATAAAGACGGTAAAATATATGACTCATAATTCAACCATGTGATGTTGTGCAGTATAGTTATAAACTCATAATTAATAATCATGGTTATATTATACATTATTATATTATATATTATAATCATTGGTCGTAGAGGAATTTATTTTTGGCGAAGGTTTTTAAATTTAGAACACAGCACCATGGCTCATTTATCAGAATAGACTTATTGTATGAGTGTGTAGAATATGCAACTTCGTTATTTTTTAGTTTCCTAATCCAACCCGACCTCTCTTAAATCCGCCTTTATGTACGCACTGCAGCATACAACGCAGCAGTGAATACGCGTGAAGAATCATTTGTATTACAGCCAGCCGCGTGTGACGGTGCACACACAGCATATAACGATGCAAAAATATAAAAATACTATATCATAATATTAATATGGGGCTTTTCCCCCAGCTCTCTTCGTTTGAAAACCCCCAAGTTATGGTGAATGGAGAAGGGGAGGGGTAAACACAAAGTGTAATTTTTTACCTAACCCGCGGAAGATTTTACTTTCGCGACTCAAGGGTCATTGCATCTCGAAATTTAATATCTTTAATTTTAAATATTTAAAAATAAAATACGTAGATGATAAAATGTACAAAACTTTTTGATGTGTAAATATCTATACGTGCAGCCCACAGTGAATATTTTTAGCAATTATCACTGGGTGACATTAAAAAAAAAAATGTACACACGTCATAACCAAAATCAATATATACGCCTAAAAAATACTTTTCAGAATTGAATATACAAAACCTTACTTATATCTATCAATGTTAAATGAATGTTTAAAACCATCAATACCATCAAAACTCACAATACTAATAAAAAAAAGGAATCAATAACATACACTACCTATACATTTTGTTATATAAGTATAAAAAACAACATATTAAAGTAAATATAAGAATTAGCTTGTAGGAACCAGGACTAAAAAAAAATCGAAAATAATTTGTAGATATTTATTGGAACGACTGATGACCAAATGAAACATGTCACATTGTCGCATAGAATGAATTGTTTCTTGCGTACTGTATTATTCTATGAGTACCTAAGAAGATCGGTCACACGGGTTTTCCAATGTAGTAAATTTCAATAATTATTTGTACTCCCAAATTCAAATGATTGAACGATATAATATAGATATGTATAAATAAATAACAAAATTAAACATAAGAAATAATTGTATAATAGTTTTAAAAATTGTCATTTTTACAAATAATCGTTGTCGCCCAGCAATTAAATATATGGTCAATTAGGCGACAAAAAGTTTTTTCTAAGTAATATTTTTGTCGCCCAATGTATTAGTTAAAATATCCACTGGGCCAGCTCACTACTGGAAAATTTATGGGTGTAGTAATTTCGCGTAAACGAACGAAAACGTTTTACCGTAATGAACGTAAGTTTCTAACGGCTAATCTCAGAAACCACTCGACCGATTTCAATAAAAGCTATATATACATATATTCCCCGAAACTCGAAGGGTGCTTTTTACTCGTTTTCAATCTATATACGTATTATGTTGCTATTGCAAGGGTATCGTACACACAAATTTCGTTTCGATTCCTGAAAATCGAATATTTTTTTTGTTCATATAAACGGATGCAATCGAAACTAATTAGTATTTACTAAAATACTTATTTGTAAAATAATCGAAAGTACGGAAAATTTAAAATTTTCTTTTTTCTGTACAACATACTACCTGTTACACCCAAAAATCATTTCCGCGCGTCAAGAAAAATAACCTCGAAGTACTCACTGGCCCACAAATTATATTTTTTTAAATAATATAGAACAAGGCTTCTCAACTCGGGAGCCCCTCCCCCCCTCCCTCCAAAGGAGGCGTGAAAAAGTTAAAAAAAACACAATAACCAACATGAAAGTATGTTATGACGTATATTATGTTTTATATATATACAAATATTATGCATACACCAATCTTATGGTAATGAGGAGACGGGTCGTGAACTCATACAATAGTTTTAAGGGGGGGGCGTGGATCTCAAAAGGTTAAGAACCCTTGATATCGGTAGAGAGATCGTAGTATGATCCATAAAACTGCATGCACGACACGGCGTCACCACTAGGTATATAATATTAGATGCACGATATATATATATATATATATATATATATTTATATTATTGATTTTTATTGCACATTTTTATTGTATCGTATGTTGTGTACACGAACAGGAATTCGACGAACACGCCACGCTGGCGTCGTCGCTGTCGCTGTCGCTGAACAACCTGGGCTGGATATCGGTGGACGTGACGAACACCGTGCGCGAGTGGTACGGGTCCAGCGGCAAGCACCGGTTGCGGTTCCACATCGACTGTTCCGGGTGCGGCGGCCTGGTGTCGCCGGTGCTGTTCCACGACACCAGGCAGGCCAACGAGTGGGAGAACCCGTTCCTGATGGTGTACACCGACCCGACGGTGGCGAGGCGCGTGCGCCGCCGGGCGCTGGACTGTTCGCTGGCGGTGCGCGGCCAGTGTTGCAAGCAGCGGTTCTACATCAAGTTCCAGGACATCGGCTGGGACTCGTGGATAATCGCGCCCGGCGGCTACTACGCCAACTACTGCCGCGGCGATTGTGGCGGCGTGCACAGGACACCGGACACGTACCTCAACTTCTACACGCAGGCCATCGAGGACTACCGGAAGGCCAAACACTCGTCCATATTCCAACCGTGCTGCGCGCCCGTCAAGTTCTCGTCCATGTCGCTCATCTACTTCACCGACGACGGTAACATCATCAAGCGGGACCTGCCCAAAATGGTCATTGACGAGTGCGGTTGTCCCTAATACGGCCACCGCCACGACGACGGGCGACGCTGACGAGACGAGCGTGGACTAGTACACCAATAGACGCGCCCAATATTATTACTATTACTATTATTATTATTATTATAACGTATAATATTATTACATCGTCGCAATATTTATATATTTTCAATCGCGCACGCACCACGTATACCGTATACCGTGTATATTGTATAATTATTATTATTTACTCAAAAATTGTAATGCGATCACGTCGCATACGTCACTTCGGCGTAAGACATACCATAAGATAAACGTATCATATAATATTACGTCCCTCGCTCGACGGTATTTTTCCATTATTATTACTCTTCTTCTTCTTCTTTTTCTTCTTCTTCTTCTTATTCTTCTTCTTCTTCTTCCTCGTATTCTACTTCTTCTACTTCGTCTTCGTATCTCTTCATTATAATACTATTCTCGTACTTCTTATCATTATTGTTTACGCGCCTTTTTCCCCGCTCTTCCCCGGACATCGTCATCGTTTTCTTCTCGCTCCTCTTCATCTGCCCGCAAATCGCAGAACGATTTAAAACGATAGGTACCTACCTGTAAAACGTTCCGAGTGGGTTCGCACGAAAATCGCGTGACTTTTATTCGTCCCAAACTGAAAAAGATTTTTATAATTCTTACCCCTCCCTTTCCATCTCGGATGTACGTCACAGACCGGTGATCCGGATCACATCCCAAAAATTTGATTTGATGATTTTTTTCAAATCGAACGATATTGTTTTCAATTTATGTTGAAAATTTGCCACATTCATTTTTGTTTTTTTTTTTTTTTTTTTTACCGATCGTTATAATACGCATCTACCTATATTTAGTTGTTTTTTAAAATTCATTTTCTTCACTTTTGTTGTGATTTTCCGTTTTTCAAATTTTCCAATGTTGTTCTCGATTTTTTGAGGAGTTTTTTTTTCAAAAGAGATTAAGATTGAATAGACATTTTCTATCAGTTTGAATTTTTCTTCAACGTATCTAAAAACGAATTTAGTACGTCGTACGTCTGGTCGAAATCGACGAAGTGACGAATTACAATAAATTAACGATATAATCACGGACGCAATTTTGGGTTTTGCTAGAAATATCGGCGATAACACGATATGAACGCACTCGATCTATAAAAAGGTATAATTTTGAAAATCAAACGCGATCGACCGTCTCCCATTATTTTTTCCTCATTATTTCATCATTGACCGTTATCGAATAAGATATTTTACATATTTGTGTGACGGTCATCGTCGTCGGTGACGGACGGACGTGGGGTACATATTACTACAGTAACGCACTTATACGCGAGGTTGTCATCGGCCGAGTTTTCTAAAGTGTGATTAAAAGAAGAAAAAACCGAATTCTAACGACCCCGTGGGGACTCGATCGCGTCATATCGTCACGATATAAAATAATATTTACGTAAAAGCGTTCGTCGTAAACGATGCAGGCGTATGTGGCGGATCGGCGAGACCGAAAAAAAAACGCCAGTCGACGGTTCTTTCGAGTTTTTAGTCAAATATTTTATACACACTCACTGCGGTTTACCTACAAACGCTCCAACTTTACTTGTCCCATAGACATACATATATGCATTTCCTGATGCATTTTTTGTAATGGTTTACGCTCGCGAGATTTAATGCGTTATACTAAATAATAGCCACTGTTTCCGATCTGTAAGTAATAATAAGTATATTATTATTATCATATCATATATTATAATAATATTGAAATATTCGTTACGGTGTTAAACCCGTTCAATTGTTTTTTTTATAATATATTATCGCAACGATATTTTGCGCCGCAAAATATGCACGTCCCGTGGTACGATCTGAAATAAAATAATAAACGATATCGCATTGCAGTTCCTCGACTTCGTAATTATTTTTTGCTACTGCATAAAAATATAACTATAGTTATATATTATGCACTTCAGTCGTGTATAAAACTTTATTTGTTTATAGGCATTTCACAGCCCTATACAGGTAATTTATGTATACTAAGTAAAACAAACACGGCTGACTACTAGTGATCGCAAAATAGTGGTCAGCGATATTATATAATCATAGTTATCGCCGGTTTTTTTTCTGCTTTTCATCAGTAAATAATATTTATATAAACGCGATAGCGCTTTAATAATAATAATAATAATAATAATATTAAATTATAACTTAGGTACGTCTGTTGAATTCGTAATTGTAGCAACGACGACACGTCTTTAGTATTTTTCACTCTCATTTTCACAGCGCCCAAAGTAACTAATTTCATTTGGTTTCCGCGTCAAAACGACGTATGAATAATAAGTGAATAGACGTACCGAAAATAGCACGGCAATATTGTAAAAATTATCGTTTGATTCGCGAAAACCGTGGTACAATATTGACGACGATCGACCATGGGATGTGACGGACGAAAGTATTCCACCGCAGTCCGACGCGCCGACGACGAACGAAAAAACATGCTCTGCTGTTACAGGCAATGGCCGTTAAATATTGTATAATTATTCGTCTCGTCGAAAAGCGTAGAATGAACGGATGTGATGTTATGTGTAGTCCGATTATATATTATTATCATAATACATTGCGTGAAAGTGTGAAACCTAACCTGTGCACTCGTGGTAAGCCGGAAAACATTTCGGGGGAGGGGTTCGCGATCCTTGTATCGTTATAAGCAAAATTCAACTTCAATTTTGGTTTTTCTGATATTTCGGATAGAGAGGGGCGAGGAGGCGGTACGGAGTTTGAAGTCCGGACTACCCGCAATCCCGCTGCGTTCACCTGCACTGTCGCCATTAAACTATAATATTAAACTATATACACTCATAATAATATGAACTCAATACACCTATCGCTGTTAGCTCGTAGATAATATTTTCATAGTTCGTGAGCACATACTTGAGCACGAATGTTTTGTTTCTTAATGTGTGCATGCGTGTATATCGTATACGATCGCGTATAATCTTACCCCATGAAAAAAAAAAATAAATATTTTAATTGCGTAGGAAAGTGTTATAATATTCTTATTCAAACGCTTCAGAAATAATAATAATATTAATTACGCGTAGTAAAATGTAATTAGTAGCAGCAATTCAAACTTCGTCTTACAATAATAATATATAATTTATTATACATAGATATATTATGTATCCACTCCACTAGGACATTACATTTTATTGTTGGTTTTAAATTAATGTTTATGACGCGAAAAACTTAACTTACGATACTTTAATATTCCATATTACGTATATACATAGATACATATTAAGTAATGATAGATTTTATAGATTCTAAATTATTAATAACAATAAATTATAACAATAATAATTGTAATTATAACTATTTTAGAAAAATGTTCTGTGATCTCTTATAAAACGTTTGTAAGTAATAATTGTTATCGAACAGAAATCGTTTATTATAAATTAAACTCTCAATCACCAAAGTGTTATTATATGTACAGGGCACGCGCATAGAAAAATACATAATGCATTTCCTCGGTTATCCATAAAATTAATTATTTGAATAAAAATATGATAAAAGATTTTAATTTTTAATTTTTTGAAAAACCTACCACCACACATTACAGCCGATCTCAATTAAATAAGGGAGGTCCCACGTTGTCGAATTTATTAAAAAACTACGATGGTGAAGTTAACTCCAAAAAATAAGATAGTGTAATGGTTTCAATTAATCAACAATCTTTTGCAGCGTTTTGACGTTTCAATGGATTAATGTGCTTCACCGAAGTGAAAACCCAAGGCCTAATCTCCCCCTGTTTTCTACCAGCATTGTATTATATTTTAAAGTGTAGTAAAAACGCTTACTGATTAAACGGACTATACGGTAATTTTTCATTTTTAGCAAAAACCGACAAATGCGTTTCATCAGCCACTGGCAGCTCTTTAACCAACTTTGCTCCATGATACCTATGTGAAAAAAAACTAATTTTGGAATTTCACTTTTAAATATGCTCTTCTGAATTATACCATAGAAGTTGTGAGTCGTAATTATGATTTATTATATTAATACCAAATAATCTGTTCCTTTGGCCCCGACTATAATAATATTATTAAATATTATTATATTATTTTGTGAAAGCCCACCCTCAAAAAAATTTATAGAAAATTTATCAATGGTGTTTAAGAAAATTTTTTTAAAATTAAATTGATATAAACAATTATTATCATACGTATCGAAATAATTAATTTAATTAAATCGAATATTTAGATAACAATTTTTTTTTTTTTACATATAATAGTACCTATTTTGAATGGCAAAAACCAACAGACTATAGTATTTTATTATGATTTCGGATCTATATCTTTGAACAAAATATCTAAGGAACTAGAATATCTGATTTTAGGAAAAGTCTCGTTTAATGCACATAATTTTTTTTCGAATAGATTATTCGTTTTAAAAATTAATTTTACCGTCAGACTGAATTAGTAAGAATCAATACGAAACACCGACCGCGACGTTATAAGTTTATTTAAAATTATTGTAGTATCATACTACCGTTAAATATATTATGTACGGACATCATCGTAATAATGAATTAATATTAATTACCCGCATTAATAGATATGTCCTTGTGACCTTTACGCGCAGCTCGCATTTTATGTCATTTAGATTAATTTGAAATGCCTTAGATGAGTTTGTTCAGAGACTGAATCCCCGAACTGTAGAATAGTGTTAGGAACGTTATTTTGTTTATTATCATTTTTTTTTTTTTTTATATTTATCGAATGGACTATTAATAATATGATTGATAAATTAAATAAATAGAAACCCTAGACAAATTTTAAAAGTATCTTAAATTAATTATTTAAAAAATATGTAAAACTAAATAATAATAATAATAACTAGATAAATGTCGAGAAATAAACTTTTCATTTCAATTTATGTATTTATTTACTTTTTTGTACAATATATATATTTATAATAAACGATATTTCTATATACATATATGTATTACTATAGCCTGATGTATTGTGTACATTTTGTTTTCTAAAAATTATTTTGCCACATTGTGATACTACAAGCTTTGGTTACTTGTATTTCTTATAACTACTATTTTTTAACTACTATATAATATAATATAGAATATTAAAATATTATATTTGCACGACGTATAAAAATTAATGATGCAATTTTAGTTTTTAGTTTTTTAGTGTTGTTACCTTGCTATAATACGTGCTTTTATAAATATTGTAGAATTTATATTGTTGTATGATAAATAATTACTGATCTTATTATTATTATGTATAGGGAAAATAAAAAAAAACATCTGTTAGCAATAAATTTGAAACACGATTATTGTAAAATATTATTTATTGA